GAGTAAGCAATGTAATGCAAAGTGCAGAAAAAGATTAAGAAATAATAAGCCATAGAAATTAAAGGCATAAGAAAAGGAAATATAGCTAAATCTAGTTCATATCAAAACCATGTACTCTCCCTCTCCATATCTTTCTACTCTTACAAACTATTCTTGCTTTCACCATATCCATACATGGCTTCATACACTGCTTCTTGATTCTTAAGCTTCTCCTTTCAGGATCTCATCAACTCCATCCAAGGACATAATCTCTACTCTGCAGAAACTCAACTCTGCATTCTGTGACTGCCTAACAGCAGAAGCTTCCACAGACTCAACATAATTTATAAATAATAAATTAAAAAAAAATAATAAAAAATAAAATTATATATAGGGGGTTGGGGGAGAGAACCCTAGTTCATGCTCCAGAGTTTCAATCCAAGGCTTTTTCTGAGTCAATGAATATTTGGCTTCAAGGTTGTAGGAGGACTGCAAAAGAGCTACGATTCTGTTTGGCCTGGGAAATGTTGGTCCCTGCTAGCTTCAGCTAGCAAGCACTCCATGAATACTCCAGACCCATTCACTCTTCCTTTATACGTTTGCTTTGTGTTTTAATCCTCATTCTATGTGACCAAACCAACTTTATATAGTCTTTTCATACTGGTCACTCGAGTATTCAATCCAAACTCATTCAGCATCCATTCATTCTTGACCTGATCTCTTCTTGTTGACCACCCACAACATTCAATTTAATAACTGAAAACCATATAAAATAGTGGACAAACTTACACACAGCCCCTTTTACTTCAGTAAACTTTAATTCTTCAAAGGCAACATAGGTTTCTACCAGTATTTGCACTTTTTAAAAATTTCTCCATTTCCCCATCTTTGTTAAACATTCTGCCAAGGTACACAAATTAATCTACTTGTTCTAGGGTCTTGATTTGGTTTTTTTTCCTATTATTTATAACTTACGATCATACCCTTACAGCCACTTTGGTCTTTGATCTATTCTTTTTCAGTTGCATATTCTTTCTTGCATGTCCCCAATGAATATGCCTCTAATATCACCACAAGCATTTCTTATACAGCCATAACAGCCATGTAAGAGCCCATATTAGGGATTACATTGTGGTGATAATGGCAGCAAATATAGGCATTTCTCTGTTCTCATCAGTCTGCTGATAGCCAGCCAGCAGCTCATTTTGGGGTTTTGTTTTGTTTTTTTGCTGGGGAGGAATAAACTCCAACAGCATCTGTTGAGGCACTGTGAGGAGTATTCTAGGCATTCAGCAGATAAAATTGCTTGGAATTGTACTCCAACTGGGGCTGGTCCAGTTTAGGTGTTGGAGGTTATCTTGGGAAGAATTTGAGCCTGTGACTCCTATGGAAGAGCATAGAATCCTGTGATTTTAGCCACAAAAATTAGAAACTTGTTTTCCCTGCTGTTGTCTTTATTATTTATGTTTCAAAAAGATACAACCCAAAATAGCATATGTAGAAAATGACCATATATGCCCTCAAAAGAGTTGGTGCACATTAAAAATCTTAAAGCTTGCATGAGACACTCCAATCAGTTTGAGCAACTGATCAGTTTGAGTGAAGAATAAAGCATGCTGGCCAGGGAATTCTGAGAGTTGAAGTCCACACATCTTGAAGTTGTCAAAGTTGAGAAACACTAATCTATACCTATAGATATATCTTGTACTGATCATATGTATTGTTGAAATAGATTGATTCTATGACCTTTTTGAATGTTAGATTAAAATTATTTTTTCTATGTAAATCTTTAGATATTAGAGTAAGAGCTGAATGTATTCTATATACCTGTACCAAGGAAAGTCAGAAGTTACTTTTCTTTTTCTACACCTTCTCTTTTCTGTTTCTTTTCCTTTTTATATTTTAATCTTTCTGAAATTTAATAAAATTTATTTAAAGAGAGAGAGAAACACTAATCTAGACCATTTTCAGTTGGGTTTCAGGCTGGGATGTAGTTCAAGGACAGCATCAATTGCACTTGGAGATGACCTGTGGTGAAGCCAGGGTAAGGTAGGTGCAATCATCCTGGACCTTCTTGCGCTCTCAGTGGTTTTCGATACCATCAATCATGCTCTCTTTCTGGACTGACTGCAGGGAGTGGGAGGCACTCTGTTATAGTGGTTCTCCTTCTTTCTCCATGGCTGGTTCCAGTCAGTATTGGTAGGAAGAGAGGTCAAGCCTGGTACTTCCAATTTACTTAAATAAGAGGCTCAACACTCTCACCCCAGGTCTCCTGATTCTTTTCAGTAACACCCTCCCATCCATCCAGATTAGAAACATTGTACTTCACTTCTGAGCATTTGGCCACATATCTGTTCTTGGAAATAATATAGTTCATGGAGTGTGTCACTCAGTGCTCAGAAGTCCTGTTCTAGGACCTGATGGAGACTTTGCCTTGCCTAAAAAGGCAGAGATGATTTCTCCTTGTCCCTCTTTCTATACCAAGAAAGAGCCCTTTCTCAGGCTTTTTTCTTGATGCTACCCGGTCTGGAGGACAATCCTTGAGCTAAATTTGGTTACCCATTCCTAGTACATATATAAGCTACTGGGCATGTATTATTGTTTCTGGAGATAGATTTGAAGGGTCCAATTGCCCCTTCTGTTTTATAGGAAATGAAAATTACAAGAAAGCTAAGACATAATAAGAGCCACTTAAAACATTTTCCTGTCTTTTTATACGTTACATTAGACTAAGAGAAATTTCATTCTCAGTGTTTATTCCAGCACTTGGTTAAAACACCTATTTGTATCAAAGTCTCTTTTACAACAAGGACTGGCATTGCTTGCAGTATCTTATTATGAAGGTAAATATTCTTCAAAGAACTTGATGCTTTGAGTCCCTGATTCTTTGTGACATCTTATTTGCTAACTGTAGACAAGAAGAAAAAAAAACAGCCACAAAAATTCGAACACATTTTTTACTGCTGTTGTCTTTATTATTTATGCTTCAAAAAGATACATCCCAAAATAGCATATGTAGAAAATTACCATTCATATATGCCCTCAAAAGAGAGTTGGTGCACATTAAAAATCTTAAAGCTTGCATGAGCCATTCCAAGCAGTTTGAGCTAAGACAACACGTGAAGGAGAAGGCAGGAGTAAAGGAAGTTGCTCACAAGGTTCATATCTAACAAACAAACTGGAACAGAAACCAACCTAAATTTAACAAAAGTATTTGGAATGCTGATGGAACATGAGGAATGTCAAACAAAGTGAAACATTCAAAGCCCATACTTTCTGGGCAAATTCTCTGTATTGGTTTTTTTATGGCCTTGTGCCATAAAATCTCAAATCTAGAACAGGGGTGGGGAATGTATGGCTCTCCAGATGTTGAATTACTATTCAGGAACCATAGGCTCAAAACAAGTGCTCACATCAGGGTGAAGATGGGAAGTTAACAGGGATAAAGAGCTGGAACTGAGACATGCTTTGTGAGCTTCAAGAGTACTGTTTACTTCCCAGATCTACAAGCATAGAAACGGATGGCTCTCCAGGTACTGCTGAACTTCCAATATCCATCGGTTAGCATAGCTAATCATCAGGGTTAAAAGGAGTTGTAATCTGAGGCCATCTGCAAGGCTGCACTTTGACCACTCAAGATGTAACACAGAATAAGCCATTATTTGCTTCTCATTTCTCATCTGGTCTGCATTTATTGCGGAGATAATGCAGTTTCTCAAAAATTACAAACTGAAGAATTAATATCCTAGAAAATGAGCATTCCACCATCACTTACTGTAGGCCAGGTTCCAGGGCTTAGAAAGTGGGGGGAAGTCCTCCCTCCTCTCATGGCACTGAAACAAGGGAGTTCTGCGACCAGACCCAAGAAACACTGGATGTGTTACACCAGAAATCCAACTGGTCCTTGTTTTTTTTTTGCCAACAGCTATCAAACTGATGCAACTGGAAGGGCGAAGAAAGTGCCCATTCCTTGTCGTAGCCATCCCCAGCTTGGGGGTCTCAAATGTGGTGGTCTATAGCTTTCATCACTCCCAGCCAGAACCACTGATGATCCCAGCACATCAGGATGGTCCTAAGTCAGAGACCACTGCCTTACTGTCAGCCTTCCACATCTGACACTTCCATAGAAAACTGCCTCTATGTATGCTGGCTTCATCTTGCTGTCATGGCTCACAATCTTGTTTGAAAAAGACTGCATAAGCACAGGCATTACCTAAAACATCATCAGAGGATAAAGAGGCAACCATCTTCAGTTACTCTGAAAAAAGGCAAACTGGGGAGAGATATTAGCTCAGTGGCACAGCCAATGCTTTGTGTGAATGATGGCCTCACATTTAATCACTCACATTGAATTTCTCACATGTTGAGAGAGAGAGGAAGGAGGGAGGGAGGGAGAGAAACAGAGAATATAACCATTGTCTTCTATGTGTTTTTTATTATTTATGATACCAGAGGTTGTACCTAGAACACAAAGTATTTGCACTACCACTCAGTGATGCTCTAAAGAGAAGGAACAGGGACAAATTTCCTTGGAAGACAGCTTCTCCACACACCACAGACTTAGCATACAATGGCAAGAAATATGGGAGAGTTTTAGGTTACAGTGTCAGGTCTTGAAGGCAGCTGAGAGGTCCAACATCCCAGGAGACACTACTATGCACTGGAAAGTTGAGCGGCAGATATGAAGGAGTTTCTCTGAGGAAGAATGAATGGAGGAGTCCTTGGTGCTCTCTGAGCTTGCCTGTTGTTTGCAGACATTACATTACCCAATTAGGTAACATCATCAGTGCAAGTAAGTGTGGGGTTTTCTCCCTGTTTATACACAGTAGCTTGCCCTGCCGGTGTTGGTGGGAGTGTGGTTTTCCTGGGTAGTTCCTTGATTAAGATAGTTCCTTAGTAGTTTGTTGATTAAGGTAGTTCCTTGAATCAAGGAACTACCAAGGAGAAAACCACACACCCACCAAAACTGACACAGCAAACTACTGTATATAAACAGGGAGCAAACCCCACACTCAGTCACACTGATATTACTTAGTTGGATAATGAAATGTCTGCAAACAATCAAGCTCAGAGAGCACCAAGGACTCCTCCATATATTCTCTTCTATTGGATTGACAAGGCACTCCCCAAAGTACATCAGGCTGAACATGGTGTTAGCTTTCTTCTCTAAGACATACTGAAACCAACCATCATAAGCTTGTATATCATTGAAAAGGTAACTAAGTAACCAACCACCCAAGCCAAACCTCTACTGGGCTGGGGAAGAGGTACCAGGTAGGCAATGGTATGAAAGATCCTAGAACCAAGAAAAATTCGGTAGTGCAGTAAAGCGGTAGAGAGGGTGACACCACTAAGAGAGTAGAAGAATCCGATGAAAAGAAATGGAATAATGTTCTCAAGGTCGTTGAGATGGATTCTAGGGAAAGAAGCAAAGGAGATTCACAGTGTTAGATGTTTCTTCATATTTGGTACCAAAGAAAAGCCCATACATCTACAATACTTTCCAGCCCTGGAAAACACACTACACTTTCATGTAATCTAAACCAGTGCTGCATACATGAGACTCTTCTATTCTAACCATCTTAAAAATCAGTTAAAGCAACCTTCCTTAATCTGGTGCCCTCAGGATGTGTTTGATTTCAACTCCTATTGTCCCCAGGCAGCAAGGAAAACACTGATATGCCGTGAAAGAAAAGATATTGATGCCCAAAACATCTGGAGGATACCAGACTGGGGAAAAACTGAGTTAAAAGAACTTGGCACATTTGGGCCCAATCTTCCAGACATCCCTCTATTAATTGCTCCCTTCCCTCAATTTTCTATGCATATACATATATCTTCAACAGGATGGAGACGGAGGAGAAGATATGGCACAGCAATTAATGTTCTAAGCTACAATGAGGAGAGCGAGTGGCAAAGTTTGCATGTGGCACTAACAGTTTACATAATCCTATCTTACTGAATAAAATGTAGATAGCTAAGTTCACTCAAAAGGCTAAAATATAACTCACGGTTCACAATCTACAATAGTGCTATATTCACCCTTCATGGTGATCTATAGTAGTTTTAGTAGGAAGCATGAACCCAACTGGAAAAGCAGAATTTAAGGACCATCACAGAATGTGTTGCTGAATAGGTTGCTCTCAAAATCCTGAAGGTTGGGAGGGTAAAGGTGGGGAGCTGGAATAAACGCTTCCTGCAAGTCAGATCATGCTGCATCTGGGATGTCAGCTTTCCACTCTGGGCCACTTTCTGGCAAATGTGACAATCGCATTTGTGATTCCAAGGCCTGCCATGTAGGAAACTCCTGAAAGTGCAGCATTTAATTTGGACACATCTTCAAGGATGCATGCTCAAGATATGCTAGTTCGACATATTCAGCAACTCTACATACCCATGATACAAACTCTTGCGAAAATTGTGGTGAGAACTTTGCTTACTGGCAAGGGATAAAAAAGAGTCAATCAATCTGAGCTGCAAAAATCCAAATGACCATTAGGGGACCACAAAGAGCTATTGCTACCATCTAGTGGCAGCCCTGGTTTTTGCAGTCCAGATCTGCTATGATTATGACTGTCCTAGCATACAGACAGTTCCAATCATAGGATTTCCCTACTGGTAACATTAACAACTGCTTTTGGAACTAGCATTAATCTTCAAAAGAAGAAATGGCTTGTTTTTTTTTCAAAATTAAGCGCCCTCTGCTCTGTTCATAAGCTTCCGAGATTAAGCGCCATCCAAATAAAAACTAGAGCTTAATTTTCTATTTGAGGGAAACAAGACAATCTCAATATCAACCTTGGGATATTTTCTCCTTCCTTCCAACTCTCTTGGGGTTTTTTGTGTGTGTGTGTGTGCATGTGTTTTGTTTGTTACGAAAAGGGGAAGCATCAGATTGTATTCAAGAAATCAGCACCGGAACAATGGCATGGCCAATTCACGCTCCTACCCATTTCTGGTGTGAATTAAATGGCATATTGACTGTGGGAATTAAATATGCAAACTCAAGACATTGCAACAGCACAGGCTATCATAAACACGGCCAGGAGAGGAGATAGGGGTGTGCAAGCATACAGTCACGGAACATTTTGCACACCCCTACAGAGGATCATCAAAGAAACAACAGGGTTATTAATGGACCGAGGGAAGGAACTCTCAATATTTTTCTAAGCCAATGATTGAAAATGAAGTTCAGGCACATTGGTGAGGGCCTTTTGCACTCCAATACCCCATACATTATTTTTTTATTTACATGTATACTTGATAAGAAGCTCCTAGATTACCTCCGTACGCGTTCCACATCAGGATCAGTCCTCAGATATTTCTTTGCATTCTCTCCTTTCCCCATTGATGCTGTGTCTTCAGGATTAGCAAATGCCTATTCAAGAGAAGGGTCCACAGAACAGAAGACATTATGAGGTCAGCATGAGGCGTAAAAAGTCGCTGAAACGCTACCCAAGGTTGTATCTTGATTTCTGCCATCCAAGGGTATCCCAAGGGTATGATAAGAAAAAAGTTGACTTTTTTGACCTCCTCCCTGCAGAGAACCTATCATAGAATTAGCAAAATAAAAGATTTCGTAGTCATTTTTTTCTTTTCTGGTAAGCAAATGTGAACAGCATTTATAAACTAAGAGTCCACCATCTCTGTTGAATGTGCTGCATTGTTGGAGGTGACTGAATGAAGTTATATGCCATTTTGGCTTACTACTACAACTACCATTATTATTACTGTTGTTATTGCCATTTACGCCCTTCATGGATCACTGCCTTGTCGTGGCGAAGGGGCTTGCGTAACTCAGTGAAGCCATG